CTCTTGGATGAGTCGTCGCTGTGCTCTTGGGGTAATTTTGGTCGGCCGGCCACTCCTGGGAAGGTTCTCCACTGTTCCATGTTTTTGCCATTTGTGAATAATGGCTCTCACTGTGGTTCGCTGGAGTCCCAAAGCTTTAGAAATGGCTTTATAACCTTTTCCAGACTGATAGATCTCAATTACTTTCTCATATGTTTCTGAATTTCTGATTTCTGATCTCGGCATGATGTCTATGTCTAGCTTTTGAGGATCTTTTGGTCTACTTCACTTTGTCAGGCAGGTCCTATTTAAGAGATTTCTTGATTGCGAACAGGTGTGGCAATAATCAGGCCTGGGTGTGGCTAGAGAAATTGAACTCAGGTGTGATAAACCACAGTTTTGACAGGGGGGCAAACACTTCTTCACACAGGGCCATGTAGTTTTGGATTTTGTTTTCCCTTAATAATAAAAACCTTCATTTAAAAACTGCATGTTGTGTTTAATTGTGTTATCTTTGACTAATATTTAAATTTGTTTGATGATCTGAAACATTAAAGCGTGACAAACATGCAAAGAAATAAGAAATCAGGAAGGGGGGCAACACTTTTTCGCAACACTGTACAATGATCAACCAGTTGCTCTGGACTGATAATGTCAAAAGCCCAGTCAGCATCACCTCACCAGCTAAAGTTCACCTCCATGCTGTTCACTACTTCTGTGAGCAACGCTGATAGATGGGATGTGAAAGCTCTCAAGTCACTGATCTGCCACAGTAAGGCAGTAGTGGACATATACATCCACAAAGCTCACTAATAACCCGTGCCTTTGAGGACTAACATTAGCCTCTAACAGCTGGCAATGCCAGAGCCACAAGTGTCTACTGACATGCACTGAGGGCTAATGCTAGCTAGCATTAGCTCTAGAATTAGTCCCTCCATACTGTAGGACTGCAAAAAAAAAAAAAGTGTACAGGTTTTATAGACATGTATAGGAGGAACAGCCGTGCATTTAAAAGAGGTCTTGTGCGGCTGTATGTTGCATAAGGCCAGGGCGCTGGGGTCTCATGTCCCACGCTGCTCGTCTCGTCCTAACACATGGCATGCATGAGATAGCAGCGTGGAGGCCCGTGTCACCGCTCTACACCTCCAGCACTCAAACGTCAAACTCACGGTTGGCGATGTCACCGCCCATCTTATACTTGGTCACGACCAAGTCCTCGGCGACGGTCTGCTCTTGCTGTTCGTCGTCGGACATCGTTGCACCGGCTTTCGAAGCGTCTCTCTAGCTGTACGATGAGCGGACAGCAAAAATCAGTCACACTACCACCAAGCGGCCCGCCGACCCTCCAGCTCCGCCCACGGCCTCCACGCACAGCGTAGCCACGCCTACTACGCAGCCGCATCACAGGTGTCGTCATATACGATGGCGCCAAAACCAACCGAGGATGTCTTCCAAAAAAGGGCAATAAACAGGAAAATAACATCAATTATGAAACGACTCTACAGATGACAATAGTGTTATTATCTAGCTCAATTCAGTTCAAGTTTTTGTTACATATATATATATTACATATATGTTACATATATATGCATATATATTTGGTTTGCTCAGTTGGGGCTTAAAAGACCACTAATATTCAGGAAATGTTATCTGAATGTAACGTTATTGTATTATGATTATGAATACAGGCATTATCATTGTTAAACTCAACCACAATAATTCCAAGCACTACACATTGAAAAAAAAAAAAATATATATATATATATATATATGTGTGTGTGTGTGTTCCACTAATATTCAGGAAATGTTATCTGAATGTAACGTTATTGTATTATGATTATGAATACAGGCATTATCATTGTTAAACTCAACCACAATAATTCCAAGCACTACACATTGAAAAAAAATATATATATATATATGTGTGTGTTTGTGTGTGTGTGTGTGTATAATAGCGTACAATTACTAAATGCCCAAATATATAAAATAAATAAATTATAAATGAAACTTAAGTTAATCAATATTGCAAGTAATTTACCCCCAGTTTCTTAAGCCTAGTCCCAGACAAAAATGTAAGTCTGAACTGTTCCAACTGAGAAACTTGCACTGATTGATCTTAAAATATGTCTGTGACCTTGTTTTTTTCTCAAGATGCACAGCAGTAATGTTTTTTTTCTAAGGCATGCTTATAAATATTACTTAAATGTCCTAATTAAACTATGGCCTAATCCTGTGAAACCAGGCCTTAGAGCTGCTTGAAAGAATTGAAATAATTATAAAAAATGTTTTTAAAAATGCCACATTACTACATATTTAATTATTAAATATTACATTAACATAAAATATGAACAATAAGGTTAAACTGTCTATTCAATTGATAAGAAATCTATTAGCCTGTAATATGCAATAATAAATCATAAAACAGGCTGTAGCTGCCACAATATGTTTTGCTCTATTGTAAATTTAAAAAAAAAGTGAGTGACATGACATGTGGCCAAGTATGGTGACCCATACTAGGAATTAGTGCTCTGCATTTATCCCATCCAAAGTGCACACACACAGCAGTGAACACACACCCGGAGCAGCGGGCAGCCATTTATGCTGCGGCGCCCGGGGAGCAGTTGGGGGTTCGGTGCCTTGCTCAAGGGCACCTCAGTCATGGTATTGAAGGTGGAAGAGAGCACTGTACATTCACTCCCCCCACCTACAATCCCTGCCGGTACGAGACTCAAACCCGCAACCTTTGGGTTACGAGTCCGACTCTCTAACCATTAGGCCACGACTTCCCCAAATTTGATTGATTGATTGATTGATTTTATTAGATTATCGCCCCCAAGGATTGCATTTCAATTTCATTGTACTTGTACAATGACAATAAAGACATTCAATCAATAAATCATTTGTAGTTGTACAGTATCATATAGTAAGTGGCACCTCTGAAAATATGTCTATTTTACGGGAACCCTAAAGGTCAGATGAATTCATTACTCACCTAGAGGTTCTCAATCTACAACCATTCCAGACACAAACACACAGAGGACAGATCTGTCTTGATCTACATGGGAATTGTTTTGTTAGTTTATAGCTTCCTAAATATGTATTGAGACACTACAACATTTAAACACACACACACACAAAGCAGAAAAAAGGGTATGAGTATGAGAGAACCTAAAGGTTTCAAAAGTTTAGTTCAGCTTTACATAGAAACATTTTATTGAAATGAAGATAAAAGCAAATAAAAAATCATTTCAAACTGTTACAAAGTTGAGAAAATACTTTAGTTTGATATGCGTATACAAAACTACAGTTTGTTATAAAAGCTTGTTTACTGGCCATTTCATTTGAAACATAATACAAGTACTTCATTATTGATTTGTTCAGAAGGCATGGACAACAAACACCTCAAAGACATCAAAAACAACTTTACCCAAATTCAATCAATATGCTATTCAACTGACATAATAATTAGATAAATTCCAAATGTAAATACCTCAGATTAGATATTTCGAAAACAGTTATTTCGAAAATTACACTTAAATTGTGAAATAATTCGAGTGCAATCTGAACAGATGTACAGTGATTTGGCAGTAACAGCTGCTGACTGAATTGGGCACTTCATGAACACACTATATTTCAGATGAACACTCACAACAGCAAACTTATGGCTTCTCTTGATGAGTTACACAAACTTGGCATGAACAGAACATTTTAAGCAACCACACACTTACATACATACACATCCAGATATACAGTAAATATCTTCCCATTCAATGTGTAGCTCATGAATCTGGCCATTCTGGTACCTCCACCATAGTAAAAAAAGAACAAAGCTGCTCTTGTTTCAATGTATCTGAACCATAATGCCACATTTTTTACATCAAGAATACATTTGAGATCAAAATACATTTATTTTGTCAAGACTGCATCAGTTTTTCTCTGGATTATTGAATAATATCCTGAACATTGGCCACTGAAGAAAGTTCAGCTTGCATTTATTCATTTGCATCAAGTTCCTTCAAGCTATTCTCCATTGCTACGTGCGGACAGCATTGGCTTTATGAAACAACCTGCTGTGCCAATAGTCAGGGTTATCAAAAGCTTTATGTTCCGTCCCTGCATGAACTTTTAAATACTCTTCTGGCCCCAGGCTCCGGGGTTCATCCGTCAGCCCAACACTCTCCTCATCTTCTCCCTCCAGATTCTGGTATTCAGCTGCTGATGCTCCACCTGCAGCCAATGAGTCCATATCCTCATATTCATACACTTCTCCTTCCCCTTGCATTAACCCCTGAACCCTGAGCGAATTCCTCAGCCGAGGCTGGTGGTTAGTGTACTGATAGTCTTCCTCCACATATTCGTCTTCATCGTCTTGTGGCGATCTTCGGAGAGGAGGATGGGAAACCGGTCTTGGGAGGTGAAGTTTGAGTACCATGTTAGTTGGTGGTCCTGCACCACCACGGATGTCCATGTACTCGTACTGAACCCCCTGGAGATCCAGATCGCCGTCAGTGTACTCCGTTTCACTGGATAGGAAATCGCCATCGCTGTGACTCCTTTGGTCAGTCGAGGACTGGGAGAGACCGCCGCTACTTTCTGAGCCCTCGATCGATGATCTCTTACTGGGCCTGCTGGACCCTAGAGATTTGTGATTGCTGTACAAGCCGGCAGGGTTGAAGGAGGCGCTACGGTTGCGTGGCGGTCGCTGATTGTAATCTTTAAGCTGCCCTGGTATATGCCCGAGAGAGAGGGTCTGATTGTTCATATACTCGTATTCTTCACCCACAACACTGTGGGCCTCCAAAAAGTCGCCAGAATGACCTCTTGAGATTCTCCTTTGTGAACGTTTTGCACGTGATGATGTGAATAGAAGAGTTTCTAAAGAAAATCAAAATACAAGAGATGTGTTAACACGGGTACTCATACTTATGGAAGCCGATAAAAGAAAAGAAATAAATAAAAAGACACTGCGATTGCAACTTAATTAGAATTTTGAATTGAATGTAATTGCAACTTTTTTATATATATATTTATATTTATAATGTTTTTGAAATAAGCCTCTTATGTTCACAAAGGCTGCATTTTTTAAATCTAAAATACGGTTAAAACAGTAATATTGTGAAATATTATTAGATTTTAGAAGAATTGTTTTTTATTTTAATATATTTTAAAATGTAAATATAAAATTATAAAAAAATATAAAATGTTAACACATTTTTGAATGGCAGAGTATCAGTTTCCAAAAAAAAATAAAAAGAATAATCATAATAATAAGCAGCAAAAAAACTTTTTAACAGTGATAATAATAAAAAATGTTTCTTGAGCATCAGATCAGCATATTAGAAGGATTTCTGAAGGATCATTTGACATTGAAGACTTGAGTAATGATGCTGAAAATTCAGCTTTGCATCACAGGAATAAATTACATTCTATAATATATTAAAATAGATAACAGCTATTTTAAATTGTAATAATATTTCACATTATCACTGTTTTTATTATATTTTTAATCAAATAAATGCAGCCTTGATGAGCATAAGAGATGTTTAAAAAATCGTATCATTTTACATTTTGATCAGTAGTGTATGTCATAATTGTGTGTATGATTATATCTCACAATGTAAATTTGTCTTATTTTAGACATTATCTCATAATTACTTTTTATTTATTTTTTACTATGAAGGTAGAAACAGGCTTCCGCAGATTTTTCAATCTTGCATCACTATACCTTCTAAAGTTCAAAGCATTAAAATTTTGCATATATTGTTGCATAAAGGTTGCATACACATGCTGCTCTAATTTGCTTATCCTCACCTTTCTCTGGACTTTCACCAAACCCAGGCAACACGTATCCATTTTGGTCTTCTTCTCCTGGAGTCCCTGTGGAGGTTGTTTCCGGAGGTCCTGATAGGCTGTCCCGCTGTGACATGTAAGCGCTGTCCTCACGATGTGTGACCCTCCTCATGCTGCCAACCGAAGAGATGTCCTCGTTCATCTCCAGCTCCACTGCAGTTCCCCGTCCCTCTGAGCTCTCAGAAACAGTGCATCCAGAGTCGAGACGAGACCGAGATGCCCATCCCGTCTACAGCAAAATGAGGTGAACAATATATTATATTGTTATATATATGTTATATATTAATATAAGTTATATATTAAGCCATATGATCTTAGATATGTGTCTTATGTGCATTACTCCTCCAATATTCATTCATAACACACACAAACTTTGCAACTACACAAATGTAGTTTTTTTTGTAGTTTTGTCTGTAAAAAATGACCGTGAATTTAACGGTAAAAGACTGTAAAAATGCTACAGCAAAAACCTGTTAAATGGTTAACGGTAAATTCCCCTACTATATATGGCGAAAAACTGTATTGAACATTACATGTAATTTTACGGTAGTATACCATTTTTGGAAGTGAAAGTGTTATAACCGTTAATTGACATTCCCAGAATCCCCTGCGTTACATTTCAAATTTGATGTTTTTTTTTGTTGAAATAACTATGTTTCTTAGTTTTTTCTTATCAGTTTTGTATATTAGGGTTGTGTGTTACACCTAATGTTGTTAAATGAATGTTTATTGCATTATTTCAGTATCGTGTGTTACCATGATGGTGTTTAGTGTTTGTGTGAATGACACTGTGCACCTTCTATATATGTTATTATTTAAAAGCTGCTTGTGATGGACTTTGGTTCATCATGTGACTTTCTCATCACCTCCTGCATTTGGTGGTTATCAGTGTATTACAAAGGTACAAAACAGATTTCAGTACTTCAATAGATTGGTATATTAACATTATATCAGTTAATGAAATTACGGTATTTAACTGTAAATTTAAATTAAAACTGTAAAACCTAAAATGTTGCCACCATATTTTTTACGGTGTAATTCCGGCAATCACAGCAGCCGTTTTTTTACCGTAAATTTTACGGATTTTTTTTTTACAGTGTATGCATGGTCTCTAACGCATTGAAATAAGCTTTAAACATGATTGACAGCTCACCTGCACTGAGCTCTCCAGACCAGGGGTCATTGGTAGATATCCAGCAATATTGGATGGAGTCAGACTTGACTGGAAGTGTCAAAAAGATATGTTTCTTATTAATTAATTATTCATAGAGCCTCCACAGATCATCTCAACATCTACACTACCGTTCAAAAGTTTGGGATCAGTAAATAAATTAATACTCTTATTCTACAGGGATGCATTCAATTGACGGAAAATGTCAGTAAAAACTTTCATATTATTGCAAAAGATTCTATTTCAGATAAATGCTTTTCTTTTGAACCTTCTATTCCTGAAAAATAAGTATGATGCACGTAGTTTTAAACATTGATGGTATTAAGAAATGTTCTTTCTTGAGCATCAAATCATCATATTAGAATGATTTCTGAAGGATAATGTGACACTGAAGACTAGAGTAATGATGCTGAAAATTCAGCTTTGCATCACAGAAATAAATTACATTTTGAAATATATCAAATTAGACAACAGTCATTTTAAATTGTAATAATATTTCACAACAATACTGTTTTTTTTAATCAAGTAAACGCAGACTAAGTGAGCATAAGAGAGGCTTCTTTCAATTATTTTAATAAATCTTACCAACCCCAAATTTTTGAGTAGTGAATGGTGAACATTGGTCTATTTTCAATCAAACCACATATTAATTATGATCGATTTTATAAAACGCACCCGATGAGAATCTATACGCAATCTAGAGAAACTTCTGGATGGTGTTATATAGCGTGGCATGTCTATCGTATCTTCCTGGTCCTCCAGCGCCACCCCTAGAATGGCCATCTCAGTTCCTCTCTGATGGGACTCATCTGAGGCCGGGTCAGGAGCTCTTTGCTCCTCCTATAGAGGTGGAACATCAATCAACAACAGTCATTCAAAACAGTTCCAGCTTGACCGTGACATGCAAGATACAATGAAGTACTCTGTTAGTTTGACATACTGTGATGACGAGATATCGGGAGGGGTCTCTGGCCATTCGGGTGAACTCATTGGCTAGCTCCTTGAAAGTTGGCCGAACATTTTCATCAATCATCCAACCTGTTCAAATAAGCCAACAAATATTTATTTAGTCAAATACATAAAAAATACAAATAAATTATATGTTACAAGTGAAAATAAATAATAAATGCCACAAGTGAATTTAGGCATCTCAACATTATAATGTACATTATAATGTGTATAATGTCTGAAAAATGGATATTCATTTCAAGATTTGCTACATATTACATTTAACAGTATTTTTAAAGCATGCACAATCATATATTGTTATTGTTAACTAATACCAAAAGATAAATATTTTTAATAAATTATATAAAAAATTATTTTTAAATTGATTAAAATATATTTACTAAATATTCAGTTTTAAATGTTAAGTTATATTTAAACTTAACTTTAAGGGGTCATTTGATGCGATTTCAATTTTTCCTTTCTCTTTGGAGTGTTACAAGCTCTTGGTGCATAAAGAAGATCTGTAAAGTTGCAAAGACTAAAGTCTCAAATCCAAAGAGATATTCTTTATAAAAGTTAAGAGTCAGCCACGTCTACCTAACACGGCTCGTTCTAACACGCCCCCACATATCTACCTCACTGTGTGGGAAGATTTGCATAACGCCGCCCAAATGTTCACGCAAAGAAAGAAGGCGTAAATTTTATTCTCGCTGTAGTATTGTTGCCGCTGCCGCCATGTTGTGAAGACGCTGTGTGAAAGCGAAACTACTTTGTTTGGTCTTCCAAAAGAGG